CTTCCGCGAAACTTTCGACCGGCCTTCCTCGTTCTTACCTCAGAGAATTTCCAATCTGCACACTTACAGTGTGTCTAATAAGAACGTGGACTCGCCGGTCGAATATCTGAAATGTGTTATTGTGTACTCGATTAAGAATGCATCCAATCACTAGCGATTATTTTCAGCACACGAAACAGGTAATGACAAGCAAAGCATAAAATTCCCATCAGAGATGTTGAAGTAAAGGAAATGGGAAATCTTTATAATGCAATAGGGTACAATATATTTTAAGAATCATTCAAGTCTGTGAAAAATACACAAACAGCTTTACATCTCTAAAATATCTAACTAAAAATTATCAATTGGTCATTTTGGTAATAATCATGGAGATTGGGCACACTATTAATTGTGTATTGGTACTTAAGGAATATCCTTAAGTACCAATAGGAAATGGCGTCCACGTTCTTATTAAACACACTGTACATACACGTGCTTATGTTATTTTCCTGCGCAGATAAGAAAGGCGCTTCATTGTCTCAGCCAGAGGATTATCGGCAGCAACACGCTCATCCAAGGCGCTCTGCCTGCCATTCTGAGGAACACGCCGCAACAGTTTCACGACGACGTCATGAAAACGTTACACGTGAGTGTTTCTGTTCATTTCTAACGTTAGCCATTGAGAAATTTCTGCAAAGATTGAAAATCTCGAGAGATCCCCTTCCTCGCGTGAAATATTTAAGGTTGATCAACTTTGCACCCACATTCATTTGTCGATTTGTTAATGATTTTAATGGTAAAAACTCGATCGTTTAATTTCGGCTCGTAGGACCATTCGCGAGCGGCGTACAACTGCGTGATGAAGATTCCAGGATTGAAGCCGATAATGCCGGACGGCGCGATGTACATGATGGTGAGAATTCCGAGGCAATTCGAGGGATAAAGCACAGCTCGCGAGGTAGAAACGGGGAGTAGAAATCGCGAATTTCCGCGAATGCAAATCGAAATGTTAAACTATCCAATCTTGCCCGTAAGCGAACGTAAGTCGATCGCCGCGAATATTCCAAACACCGGCAGCAGTCAAGGTAAATACCTTGCTTACCGACTAAGTTAACACCGATTGCAAGATCGAACCGATCGGGATCTCCGCGTAAATATTTCGCCGTAATTGGCCGGAAATCAGACGAGCCGAGGGTTAAAAGTACGGCGAGATCGCCAGATTCCAAATACCGGCCATTTAAATTATCCTATCGGTTTCCCCAGGTTTACATAGATCTGCCTTGTTTCCCGGAATTTAATTCCGACCTCGAGTTCGTGCAACGATTGCTAATGGAGGAGTCCGTGTTCTGCCTTCCCGGCCAGGTACGCCGACAACATAATCGAACAATCGAGCTCGACGAGGAGGTTCTTCATCGTCGATTTAACGATCAATCGTTAGAAATTTCCCGATTTCTTTTCGCAGTGCTTCGATTATCCGTCGTACATGAGGCTGGTCATCACTGTGCCCGTTGATATGCTGGAGGAGGCCTGCCAGAGGATCCAGAAATTCTGCCAGAGGCATCACTACAAAACGGCAGAGAACACGCAGAGGAACAATCTCGCTACCGTGGACATTCTGTATTAGCCTAATCGCGCGGCACTCATTAGGTATATATATATTGTGCACAAAATGCAGAACTTGGGCAACGCAGTGTGATTCAAAAAAAATACTGAAAAACTGGCTACAGAAAGAAAAATGAACAAATAGAACGTATTACTATTTATTGATAATAAATTTTCCAAAGAAAAATTTCTTTAGCAAACAAACAAAAGTTCGTGTATATATATATATATATATATATA